GCCGCCGCTTTCCTCCGACCCCCTCCCCGGCTCGGGCGAGGGGCGCCCCGAGGCGCGGGGCCTGAGCCCGCTTTGTGCACTGCGCCGCCCCAGCCCCCCTCTCCCGACTACAGCAGGGCTGGGGGCACAAGGCCTGGGCGCCCGCCTTCCCCACCCTCCGACCCCGGCTGCGGGTGGAGGCCCAGGCTCGGAGCATGGAGCGTCGGGGTGCGGAGCGGGCGCGGGGGTCCAGGGCGGGAGCCGCTGGAGGGAAGGAAGCTCGGGGAGGGGGCCTTCTGCTCTCGTGCTGCCCTGCCCAGGGCCTGGGAGGGAACCTGGCTGGAAGAGGGCGCTATAAATATCTGCAAATAGTGAGTTCTGGAAGAGGGGGCAGGGGGAGCACGCCTGGGTGCAGTGGAGAGGGCCAAGGTGGGGGCCCCGAGTCAGGGTGCAGCAATGAGGAGCAGAGGTGCGCCCCAGTCACCCGTGGTGACGGGGACTCTGCCTGCCTGGGAAGATGGTCCAGAGCAGTGTACGCAGAAGCACCACCGCAGGGGGTGGACAGGGGTGTCTCAGAAAGAGTGGGTGGTCTCTCAGCTCAGCTCTCCTTTCCACTCCGTGGACACCAGCCCCGAGCTGCCGTGATGGGGACCCCGCCTCACTCCAGTGTGTCATCTCCCCAGGCATGGGGCCAGGCACAGGGAGGAGGTTCCCCACTCCCCGGGAGCTGGGGTGCTGTAGGTGGTTGAGAGGGGGCCTGAGGCCCCAGGGGAGTGAGGTGGGTGACAGAAAAGATGGTGATAGGACATTGGGAGAGTTGGCCCCGTGGAGAAAAGTGGGGCCTGGGCAGCCCCATGAGTTGAGTGAGGGTGTGTGTGTAGACGTGCCAGTGGGGGTGTTCAGGCTCCGAGTGGCCCCAGTGAGAAGGAGTTGAGGGCAGGTGGCAGTGAGGTGAGGTGACACACCAGGGAGCAGGCGTGAGCCCCTGAGAGCAATGCATTGCCAGGATGGGGCTAGGAGTGGGACCTTCTGGCTTGGACGGCCCTGCCCAGTTCTCCCCACCCAGAATGCTGGTCGAGGCTGGTGGACACACGTCTGTGATCCTTTTGTTGATGGAAGTCCGCTTCCTGAGCCTCAGTTCCCCCATCTTTCAGACGAGTAAGTGAGTGAGTGAGATGGGGCGCGGGGAACCTGGCTCCTGAGAAGTACTCGGAAATCGCTGGCTGCTACGTCGTCGTATTATCTGTAAAACGGGCCATCTGATGCCAGCTGGCGGACTTGCGAGTTTCACAGCGTTGACGTTCGGTCGTGAGGCTCCTGTGAGGGCTGATGGGAACGGCAAGCTGGGTGTCCACCTCCTCATGTTGTTCTGGGAGGAGGCCTTCTGGAGGCAGGGTGGTCTGCAGTGACAGT